TTCATTCAATAGTAAACTTGGCCCTTGCTTAACACAAGTTCTTATAAAATACAGTAACAAAAAATTCCTAGAGTACATTTTTTAAATGGTACAAAACATTCAGACAACACAGGTTGGAGGTTACACTAATATAGTTGAGTGCATTTGAATTGGGAAAGGAATGGGGTAAAGAGTCATTGGTATTGTTTTATTATCTAAAAGATATCATTATTGTATCATAATCTACATGAGTAATCATAGGGTTTTTACTGTGAATTCTCACATTATATTTGGTTTCTGCAGTGAATTTTGTAATATGTACGAAATGCAGTTATATTATTTTTCATAATTATACACACCATGGGTTTATTATTAAAAACTAAGATCATGAAATATTGACATTACCAATTTGAATAATGGAGGTGTAGAGACAGGACATGACCTGACTGATGTGCTCTAGGGTTTGTAAGTAAAATTTAACAAAATATTTTCCCTTGTGTTATGCATGAAAGGATCTTCTTGGCCTCTACAAGGCAGGTTTTTGTGTGTATTCAATGTCTGAAGATTTCATAAATGTCCCAGTTGATCAACTCCTTGAACTGATGCCCAAATCCAGGCCCTTCCTTCTCTTAATATTACCTGACTTTCATCTCGACTGATGTCTCCCCTGCCTAGCCTGACTTGATCTGACCTTAGGATGCTTGTATGCATTACAAGGTGGTTTTTGCTTATTTCTGTGTACAGTAGTTGATGAAGCCATGTTCAAAGTGTCTTTGAAATTACCATTTGTCTGCTTCAAAAAGAGGACATGAAGGAGTTTGAAACCAGTAAATCTAGTTTTATTGCTAGAAGCTGGATCCACATAACAAAGTCACCCCAGCACCCTTTTCAGAACATATCCCTTAGTCTCCTTTTTCAGAACACATTTGCCTTCAGCAATCCCCCTCCCTTCCCCTTAAGAACTCACCCCTATCCAATTTCTTTGAATTCATCCCCCAGCCCCTCTTCTCTGCACTCACTCCCAGTGTTAAGTGGGGGTCTGGTATAATATAATTTCCAGATGCTAGTTTAAGAGTATAGTTGTCAAATTTATAATTCTGTGTAACAACATTGTAGGTTATATTTTCCCACTATTACACTCCCTCAGTTGCCCACTTCATGATTTTTCTTTTTGTACTTATTGTCTCTAACCAAGCTTGAAAGCTTATGAATCAGGTGGGTTGTGATAGTAAATCTGATGGAGGTTGTTGGTAAGGCTTCAGGTAGTTAAGTTACAATTTCAAAAAACTTATTGTTATGGTAACACTTATATGCAGCTTTTGAGTGGGAAATTGGGGTGGACTGTCATACATACAGACTCACAGGGAGTAACATTTCTGAAGGTCCCTTGAAACTAGAAACTGTAAATAATACAAAAATTTTAATACACACACAAAAATGCTTCAGAATTGAGTTCATTTTGTGTTTCAGAGACCATACTTCTTTAATGTATCACTGGATCCCCATCAGTAAAAATATAAAATCAAAACTTGCGAATAATGCAACAGGAAGCATGTAGGGACAGCTATATTAAAACATCAACAGCATTATGCTTAAAAGGCATCAAAATACATTACACATTGCTCTGTACACAAGTCTACTTGATATTCTTTTATTATTATTTGTTACAGATTATCCAGCTCTTATGTTTCTAATTAATAATTATTTTCAGCATTTAAATAATATCTTGTACATGTATTATATCACAGGTAGTGGACCAGTTGGTCCGTCTCCGGTGAAATTTCTAACATTGGCTTCACCGTCAGCCTCATGATGGTCTGGTCTTTCTCCACCTTTGCATTGCACTTCAAATAAATACTGCTTACCCATTCTTTGCCTATTCTAATTTCCCTTCTCACAACTTGTTTTTCACATTTCTTTTTGTCTGCTTTCTCACCTGCATGTGCATTCTTAGCTTGTTCTATCGTTCTTTTTTTTTGTGGCTGTTTCTGTTTCATGGTGCAAATAAATGATAGCTAGACCAGCATGCAAATTACATAAGCCTTTAATAAATACTGTACTTTTAAGTCATTTAAAATATCTGGGAAGGGTTCTTACCTGTGGTGATTCCCTTAAGAGAGTTCCTTGAAGGAGCAACTGGAGAGTATTCTTACATATGGTGATCTCAAGATGGAGAGTTCGTTAAGGAACTCCCATCTTGAGATCACCTTAAACATATTATCAGATGATAGCATTTCATGATGAAAATGGTTTTGCATGCATTAATTAGAAATACTGTTTATATTACACGGCCCCAGGCAATTTTCATTATTTTTAAGTTTATTACACCAGTTGTTCCACTGATTTTATAAACTTACAATATATCTGTGACATATTTTTACTTCTCACGATTGTTTCTTGGCAGGTGTCAGGTAGCAAAGTTGAAGTGCAAGTTACCAGCACCTCTCCATTATTTGAATGTCATTCACAGATTAATTTATGTTAATGTCTAGCTAGTCCAAATATTTGCTGGGCATGCACACTGACAGAGTGAATTTGCATGTTTTATGCCATTTCTTTTTGGGGGTTGTGAAGAATACTGTAAGACAGTAATTTGCACATTTAACAGTCATCATAGTACTGTAAATTAAAATCTAATTCTGGGTGAACTTAACTGTGGTAAAAGTGTTTTAGCTGCATAGGATACTCACCTGTCTTTACTCTCTCTTCCACTGAACTACAATATTAAAATAATGATAATGAGATCAAGAAGGTACTTGAGTATCTAATAGTATGGTAGTTTCTTTTCTTCTGAAATCTTTACTCTTTCACTTTGATGATTTTTGTTATCTCGATTCTTTACATTTTGTTTTCACATATGTGGATATCACATAGTGTTTCACTCACATAATGCTTGTCACTCTGTTCAGTATTGATGTATGATGAACATCAAAATGGTATACAATACCAACAGGTTGGTAGGTAAGACGCATAGGCAACTTTATTCCGAAACGTTTCGCCTACACAGTAGGCTTCTTCAGTCTACTTTCTGTATTCGACTGAAGAAGCCTACTGTGTAGGCAAAACTTTTCAGAATAAAGTTGCCTATATGTCTTACCTACCATTGATGTATGATACTGACTGGTGCTGCAGCAGTTGTGTGTAGTGGGTCTTCTCAAGTCAGGGTTTTATGTACAGAATAAGACTTCTGTGTGTTTTTTTTTCTTAATATGAATTAGGTTAGGTAAGGTTCAACAGGAAACAGGACAAGTGTTTCTTGATGTGGGTCTTAGTCAGATGATGACCTGCCATTGGAGCTTTTGGTCATCTGACCGAGGCCTTCCGCTGTCTTACTGGTTCACCCCTTTAAAAATTATGGTCATGGTTATAACTGTTTAGTAACAGTGCTCAGTTATTTTGAATGAACAGGTGGTGTACTTTTTTTCAAGTAATATAATTTTTTTTTTAAAGGTGAGACTTGAAAAGTATATTATCTGTAAAAAAATCATGCTTATTTTGTAACCTCCACAGTGTATGCTGGCTTTCAGACTTCATTGTTATCAGTGGTGTTACAAAATATACTGGTATGTCTGTTATTCCTAAACTGCATTAATATAATTTATACTTGGCATTAGATGTGATTCATTAAAAAAATATGAGTGATAATAAGAGAGTATTTTATTGTAGTATGTTATAATGGTTACACTGCTCCTGTATTTGCCACTGCTTTAAGTTCTCAATTAAACAAAGTTTGACACTTTATGTTCAGTGCAGATTCTCTTTATTAGTTTTGTAAACATTACTTTGTACACAACAATCGTTTACAAATATCCTATCCTTATTTTATAAAGTTGAAACTTTATATTAATTTACATTAGTTAAACCTTGTCAGCATATAAGACACTTGGGGTAATTTTTGTAGCCAAAGCTATATTTATTTAAGCCTTGGGCAATATATAAAATGGAAAATATGTAAGATGTTTTAGCCAACAAAGGTTACAGATGGTACACTTATTTTAATATCATTACATTAGAAACTGTGGTTTTCTCTTACTCAGTCGTCTTGGAAAGCCTTTTGGCATCGTTTCTGCATACCGCAACAGCAACCAAGAAACAATGGTGGAAATTGGTGACTCCGTCAGGGGAAGAGATGTTTTTATTCTACAAACTGGTACAAAGTGAGTTTGGAGTGTGAACAGGAGTGTTGTAAGTTCACCTTGGGTTGGTAGGTGTGTTGGTCAAGACATGTACTGTACATCATAGCTGAGTAAGGTGATTCCAACACTTACAACTAAAGTAATCTACCACTGTACCATACTATTAAAGTAATTATGATTGCCCTGTAAATGTGTGGCTTATAATTCAAGATTCTTTATCTTGATACAGTTGTTCACTTATAAGTAATTAAGTGAAATACAAGAGAAATAGCTAACTCTCAGAAAACTTTATTATAAGTAAAATATGAACTGTCTTATGAAATAGTTATACATAAAAATATTCACTTGTCGATTCATTATTCATTGAAGACCATTAGATTGGATTTTCAGCTACTACTGTACTTGGTTTGTTAGTAAATTTGCCTTTTTCTTATTAGTATTTCAAGGTACACTTGTGTTTAATGTCACTACTGTAATATTTTTGTTACAGTATGAAGTGAATTTACTGCTAAATGGCCTTTATTTTCTGATAGCTGTATTTCTCTTTGGATTGTGTTCACTGTCATCCTGATAAACTGTAGCTCAGCAAATCTTATGAGTGTATTGAATAATTTTGGTTTTGGTGGATTCTAAAGAAATGTAAACAGGGAGGAGAGGGTGAGACTACCTGAGATAGTGTCTGTACAAGTTCTAACTTCAAACTCAGGGAATGTCTGCTTGAGGTCACATCTCAAGGCTCTGAGTTGGAAAAACTTCTTTTAGAAGTAGAGATGAAAGTACAGTATAAACTATAATTAAAAATGGAATGAGTGCATTATTATTGAATAAAAATGTTGTTTTAAAAAGTTGAAAATATCTTACTCAAATAACTTAATTTCAGAATTAAAATTTTGTAAAAAATTTCCAAAGACAGAGTCAATAATAGTTGACATGCAGAGGTGATTGTTAAGTTTGTAAGTGGCTTTGTAGAATGGACTTTTAGGCATTATTGGAGAGGTGTTGTCTTAAAAATGAAGGTTACTGCTGTGAAAGAATCTCAGGTTTCATGTGCCATGGCATTTAAACACTTTAGTTGTAATTTAATTAGTAGTGAGCTTAACTGACATTGTTTAAGGTTTGCTTGGTCTGCCGCAGGCAACAGTATGGATTATTTATTATTTTTTATTATCACACTGGCCGATTCCCACCAAGGCAGGCTGGCCCGAAAAAGAAAAACTTTCACCATCATTCACTCCATCACTGTCTTGCCAGAAGGGTGCTTTACACTACAGTTTTTAAACTGCAACATTAACACCCCTCCTTCAGAGTGCAGACACTGTACTTCCCATCTCCAGGACTCAAGTCCGGCCTGCCGGTTTCCCTGAACCCCTTCATAAATGTTACTTTGCTCACACTCCAACAGCATGTCAAGTATTAAAAACCATTTGTCTCCATTCACTCCTATCAAACACGCTCACGCATGCCTGCTGGAAGTCCAAGCCCCTCGCACACAAAACCTCCTTTACCCCCTCCCTCCAACCTTTCCTAGGCCGATTCGTATGGATTCATTCCAACAAATCATGTACAACACAGTATATACCAACATACTTAGATTGGAACACTGTTCTTTATTTTTTTCTTCCAAGTACACTACTGTATTATATTCAGAGCAGTATTTTATTCCCAACTCTTGATCTTCCTGCATTTGATCTTTTCAGGCACATTTATACATGCTTCATGAAATTAGACCACAAAAAGGCTTTGTCTGGATTAAGCCAGGAGTTTTAACTACCATGGAAGTCAAGCACTGTAGCTTATTTTTGCATGTGTTTGCAGATTATTTGCTTATTTTACACAGTTCATTCTGGCCTCTGATATCCATAACTTAAAATAAAGAGGATAATATTATTATTATTAACACGTTGGCCGTTTCCCACCAAGGTAGAGTGGCCCAAAAAAGACAAACTTTCTCCTTCATTCACTCCACCACTGTCTTGCCAGAGGCATGTTTACACTACAGTTATAAAACTGCAACATTAACACCCCTCCTTCAGAGTGCAGGCGCTGTACTTCCCATCTCCAGGACTCAAGTTCGGCCTGCTGGTTTCCCTGAATTCCTTCATAAATATTACCCTGGTCACACTCCAACAGCATGTCGAGTCCTAAAAACCATTTGCCTCCATTCACTCCTATCTAACACTCATGCATGCTTGCTGGAAGTCCAAGTCCCTCACACACAAAAACCTCCTTTACACCCTCCCTCCAACCTTTCCTAGGCTGACCTCTACCTCGCCTTCCCACCACTACAGATTTATACACTCAAAGTCATTCTATTTTGTTCCATCCTCTCTACATGTCCAAACCACCTCAACATCCCCTCCTCAGCTCTCTGGATAATAGTTTTGGTAATCCCGCACCTCCTCCTAATTTCCAAACTACGAATTCTCTGCATTATATTCACACCACACATTGCCGTCAGAGTGACATCTCCACTGCCTCCAACCTTCTTCTTGTTGCAGCACTCACCACCCATGCTTCATACCCACACAATAGCGTTGGTATAACTATTCTCTCATTCCCCCTCTTTGCTTCCATGGACAGAGTTCTTTGTCTCCACAGACTCCTCAGTGTACCACTTACTTTTTTGCTCTCGTCAATTCTGTGATTCACCTCGTCTTTCATAGACCCATCTGTTTTAAGACTGCATTGTATTAATAAGAGATTCACTTTCTCCCTCCATTCTTCATTCACTTACTGATTATTATGTCATCTATTCTCCCCTCGATCATTCACTAATATACGTATATATTGATTAATCAGTTCTTTGTTACGCAGACTAAATGACTTTTGAAGCAGTCACATCTTAAAATTTTATATTATTATTATTAACAAATAGCAAAGTATAAAATATAGGAAAACAAGGCTAGAACATAACCCATAAAGCAACATGCAGTATTAGTATATTGATTCTGAGCCTTGTCATTTATTTTTAAAAGTGTATGCCCTCGAAGGTCAGTAATTAGGTGTAGTTTAATTGTCCTTCCTCAGTTGCTGATATGAATGCATGTCTAATAACATATTCATTCTTATGTAATTCAAAGCCAGGTAAAAATTTTCTTGTTACATATTTCTAATTGCCGAATCTTCTTACATTCCACTCTTCACATCCAGACAAAAGTTACACTTTAATGCTAAACTTGTATCAAGAAATACAGTTAGACTTTTAACCCCTTTTAAACCATTTTTTTTTTTTTATAGAATTTTTTTTTTTGCTTTTTGATATGTAACACAATTTTAGTCTGCATAAATGCATTAGCCTTTCATAGTCATTTTTCCCAGGAGATCTGGTAAGGGGAATTTTTCCTTATAAATTTTTAAAGAATAGAATTATTTTTTTCTCCTTTACGATTTTCTTGCCTTGAGAAATCATAAAAAATGATAATTATCATTGTATGTACATCATTTGGTATAAACTAATTTTTATAAAAGAAGATTTTATATAATTTTGAGGGATCATTTTGGTTTGTGCAGCTAAATTTCCCCATATATTTCCTCTTCTTAAAGCCGAGCATTTGGGGTTGGTCCAGCTAAAGTCCCCAAGAGGCCCCTTTTTGAAGCTCAGGAGCATTTGGGGTTGTTGCAGCAAAAAGGTACCCAACGAGGCCCCTCTTCTGACTCAGAGCAGCTTGGGTTGTGTCACTAGAAGGTACCCATATGAGGGTCCCTCTCTAGAAGTCAGGAGCAGCTTGGTTGTGTGCAGCTAAAAGGGTACCCATAGAGGGTCCCTCTTCTAAAGCTCAGGGGGCCTTTGGGTTTGTGCAGCTAGAAGGTACCCAACGGGGTTTCCCTTTTTCTAGAACTCAGGAGCAGTTTGGGGGTTGGGTTGCAGCTAAAAGGACCCATACGATGGCCCTGTTCTAGAAGCTCAGGAGCAGCTTGGGGTTGTGTGAGCAAAAGGTCCCATAATGGTCCCTCTTCTAAAGCTCGGACAGTTTGGGGTTGGTGCAGCTAAAGTACCCAAAAGAGGTCCCTCTTCTAAAGCTCAGTCATTTGGGGTTGTGTGCACAAAAAGGGTACCAATGGGGGCCTTCTTCAAAGCTCAGGAGCAGTTTGGGGTTGTGTGCGCTAAAAGGGCACCCATAAAAGGTCCCCTTCAGAACCGGGAGCAGCTTGGGTTGTTGCAGCAGAAGGACCCATACGATGGTCCCCTTCTAGAAGCCGGGAGCGCTTGGGTTGTGTGCAGCTAAAGGTACCCGATATATCCCTTTTCTAGAAGCTCAGGAGCAGCTTGGGGTTGTGTCACTAAGACCTGATGGTTCCTTTTCGCTTTCAAAACCCAAATTTCTGTAACATTCATTAGAAAAGCTATCTAAGGAATTTTGTCACAAAATTCTACTTATGGGGGGGTTTGGCCAGAATACCATTATGGAGAAAAGTTGCTTCAGAGTTTTTTTTCTTCAACACCCCGGGCCGACCCCCCGAGGCGGGGGGGCCCAAAAGGGAAAAACGAAAGTTTCTCCTTTTACTTTAGTAAATATACAGGGGAAGAGGTTACAGCCCCTTTTTTCCCCCCATTTTAGTCGCCTATACACACGCATGGCTTACGGGGAAAAAATTTTTTTCCACTTCCCCAGGACAAGAAGAAATAAAAAAAACAAGAGCATTTTTAAAAAAAGGGGAAAAAACCCAATGTATGTAATAATATATGCATGTGCGTGTCTGGAAAGGGACCAAAGTGTAATAGGATACAAAATAAACCCGTTATCTTAGCGTGTTTTTTGAGACAGAAAAAAAAACCCGCAATCCTACCATCAGCAAAACATTCAGGTTTTGTTTCACATCATCTGGGAGGACGGGAGTACTTCCCTGGGTGGTTCTGACCAAAATACTACCTAGGTTCAGAGCTTTTGTTCATGTGAATTTTTAATTTTTTTAGCAGGAATTTTCATCATAATACGTACATCAAAGCACTAAACCTGAAAGGTCATTCAGCGCAGAGTGCTGGGGGCTCAGTCCCCTCTGTCGCTAATTTAGACAGATGCTCCACCGTAACTGTGAGGGAAATTTTTTAAATGTTATTACTATGTAAACACACTTCACAAAGTGTTAAACACAGGCTTCAGTGTTATATAATATTTTTAAATTTTTTTTTTGTGTAATGTGCGCAGTAGATATAATTTTTCCCTTTTTTTTTTTTTGTAGTTTGTACATATGTTTTTTCCCTTTTGCTTTTTTTTTTTTTTTTTTTTTTTTGTACGGTATAGAAGGCCCCATTTTAACAAAAAGGAAATTTTCCCATTTTTTGCTCTCATCACTCTTAATTAACTTTCTTCCTGCTCTTTTTATTCACGCCTTGTACAGCCTCTCCACCCTGTATGCTTTACCCCTGCCCGATCTAGCAGTGTGTCATCATTTTCAAAAGCCCTCCTGGCTCCCTGCATTTCTTTCAACTTTAATCATTACTGGGCCCCTCAAGGAGGTTCCCTTTGCTGGTGAGGGGGGTCTTTATCTAGAAATTGGATTAGTCCAGTTCCCGAATTTAACCCGAATACCTTCCATTCCCACCCCCACATGCCGTTAGTCCACGGGTTTATGCTCCCCCTGATTAAATAATAAGAAGATATACTGAAAGAAAAGTTTCCCTTTTGCTTTGTCAATGACTGCTGCCTGATCCTGTCTGGGTGGAAGACTGACCAAACTCTTCTTGTTTTTCCCTCCTGCAATTTCTTTGTCTCTCAAGACTTATTCACATCCTAAAACAATACTAATTTGAGTAAATGTTCCTTAGTGGAAACTTCACTTCAATACGTAAAATATTTTCAAACCCGTAAAAATTAATTTTATTTTAAATTTTTTGATTTCTCTATTGAAAAAAGCCTTGGAGTTAACTTTTTCTTTCACAAAAAGAATTTCACCATATAAAGTTTTAAATTTACGAAAACTGGGTACTGAAGTAAAAGGGTTCAATTTTTATTTTATTGGTAATGATGGGTTTAGCTGTGAAGTAATGAGAGTGAGGCTGTTGGTGCCGTCTGCAGTAATCCCTACAAAATTTGTTCTTTCATGTTCTTGTAATTGGCAAAAGCTTTGCTAATAGGCCCTTTACCGTTTTATATTGTGTGTGCGGCATCTTTGCAGCCGGCTAGAGGTGCCTGTAGGGCGAGCTGAGGTGAAGGAAATGGCCAACCGTGAGACAAGTGTTGAGATCATGGAGTCAGTGAGAGAGAAGAGCGTTTACCTCATTCAGACAGCTGACCCCAAGTAAGATTACTGGGAACGTTAACCTGTTTTTAGCTACAGATGTTCATCAGCACTATTCAGCTTATGCTGTTATTCATCCATACTGTGACTTAGAGGATTAGAATAGACATTCTTGACACTACTTGCTTGCACCATTAACTTCCACATATCAGAGGTTAATGTGGCTATTTATGACATTTTTTACAATGTTATATATTAGAAGATCTGCTTTTGTATTGGTCATGTATTGCATCTGCTCTCTTAGTAGTTTTTGTTTAGAAATTTATGAAACAGTGGGCATGTGATGAACAGTTAAATTAATATTTGATTGATGGGAAACAGAAGGCATTTTTGTGAAGAACAAATCATAATAGATATTTAATTTGCATTCTGTATTTTGAGTGCAGTGAAAGGAAGTGGTTGTTATGACCTAAAGTACTGTTGGAGTGTGAGCAGGGTTACATTTATGAAGATATTCAGGGAAACCAGTAAGTAGGTACCTGAGTGTTTGTCAGCTGTTGTGGGTTGCATTCTAGGTTGTGGCACCTTAGATAGGGCCTGGCTTTAAATAAGCTGAGGTAGCATAACAGCTCTTAGCCTGTAAAACTGATCTGTCTAGGAAAAAAAAAATGCATAATTAAAATGTCCCAGACATGTGCCTGCTTCTATGCATTTTGTGTTGTTGCCTAAGCAAGAATTGGTCATGGTCCTAAAACTGTTTACATTTATATTGTGCTGTACACTGATAGACTTTTTTTTAGTGAACAAGTGATGCTTCAGGAGCAAAATAGCAAAGTGAACCAGACTTTCCATGCAGCATCCACCTCTCTCTCTAGCCTCCAGGCTCTCATTTGTCCCCATGTCCTCCTTTCTGGAGGAAGAGTGAAGGATGTTGTTCATCAGGCAATTCCAGAAAGTTTCTATTATCAGTGACATATCATCTATCCTGACTTTATATATTACAAGCCCCTCACATAATGCCCTTTTTGTTTAGTTTCAACACTTTGCCACCTGTGCTGGGTATGAGAGGTAAATGGATGTCATTGTAGCCTCCAAGAATAATGATAATGTCTGTTTATCTCAAAAAAATTTTGAAAACACAGGCCACACAGTCCAGCCTTACATAACATCTGCAGTTCATGTCATGGTCGATAGGCTCTGTACCGTATGTCTCACAATTCAAATTTCCCACAATTAATACATTCTGCAATTCAGTTTCCCCTCAATTTTTAATTCCCACAATTCAGACAGATCCATTTCAAGTGGTACATTGATGTTTGGATTCACTTTCTCTTGCTTTCCATCAAGCTTCATCAGGCTTCTCAGATAGTCATTAAATGCCAGAAACTTGATAACCAGCCAATGTTTGTATACCAAGGTCAGTCCCACTAGATCATCATCAGCTATCCTAAGGATATCAGAAAGTATGAACAGTAACAGCTTGTCCTCCATGTTACCCAGCAGCTCAACTCGGGTAAGTTCATTTCTATCAGAATGCTTTGTCCTTATTCATGGGACCACCCTAGTCACTCAGAGTGACAACCATTCTAAAAAGTAAGCTTACAAGCACACTTAGAGTGGATTACCAGCAGACAAACTAGGGAGGAGGGAGAAATGTGCTTTAATTCAATAGTACAATTTATGGTTTCTTCTGATAGGCCAGTTTAAATTTGTTACTTCTTATTTGCATAGTTTCTGTATATATATTCAATACACATGGAATATAAGAAGCACAGATATTTGTGTTGTTTATGAATTCTGTTAGAACTCTTAAGGAAGAGTTAAGTGTAGATTAGTGTTCCAATTTAGGCTCTTGAAGATGTAAAGTCAGTAGCGGAATGTATGACTGGTTTGTATGTGTGCTAAGTTTAAAGTTGTGAAAGAAAATGGTGTGTGTTATCTTAAGCTATAGTTTGATATGGTTCTAATGGCTAACTTGTCATGATGATTTCTGTTCATTGTAGACAGGTTCTGAGGGTCATTGCCTCTCCATGGTCTAGTCTCAAGCCAGGCCTCCTGCTTGATGACCTCTTCATTTAACCCTTTGACTGCCGCAGGCCCCTTCCTGAAACTGTCATTCTATGTCGATAAATTTTTGAAAAAAAAAATTATTTTTTCTTATGAAATGATAGAGAATCTTTTCCCGATGGTAATGACACCAAAAGTTTGAAATTTGGTCAAAAACTCAGGGAATTACGCTCCCACGAAGTTAGTGGTCTCGGCAACATATGCGTATCAGCGATTTCGCCGACTTTGAGCCCTGTTTTCAGCCAATTCCGTTGTTCTAGTTGACCAAATTCATAGCTATTTCTTTAGAACTCCATTTTATTTATCAGCTGAGTACAAGAGACCGCCCATTTACCAATTTGAACTACCCAATATAGTAGTCAGAAATTGGCAATTTGGCCAATTTCACGCAAATTAAAAAAGATGCCAATTTCAAAATAGGGTCCAGAATAAACAAGGTAGACATTCTTGGCACTAAAATAACATATCCTCTGTTCATTAGTCACATCTCTAGGCCCCTCTTATATTATTATTGCTTTCTATTTTTATTTTTTATTCATACAAAAAAATACAAAATTTACTATTATGCAGACAACTGCATTATTGTAAAAATGGTATAAATAATATCAGTGCACTAGTGAAAGAATATTAGACTCCCCAGTTGACGTGTATTGGACGTGTGGTGTGATTTGTTTACTCCTGAACATTGGTAAAACTCGAACATTTCCGCTACTTTGAGCTCAGTTTCAAGGTCGTTTTCATCGTCAAAGTAATGAAAATCATCTCTATTTTTGTAATATGTTTTCCATTTTATCACCTAAGACCATGAAAACGCGAATACAACGATAAATACTATACGAAAATACACCTCAGAGTCGGCGCTTTAATCCAAAAAAACGATCAGTTTTTTTTTTCTCATTACGCACTGTGTTCTGCAGGATTTTTTTTATGTGGTGCACACTGACCACACAGACCCTTTCTCTCACATGTGGGCCTACCAGCTTTCTCCCGCTTGATTTGAAGCTGCTAGAATTATTGAGTATATATACGTCAGAAACAGTGGCTCGTAAGACGTATTTATACGGCGTAAACAGTCAGAGGGTTAAGAATACACAAATAACCTGCACATAGGAGAAAGACACTTATGACAATGTTTTGGTCTAACTTGGACCATTAGCTAATTATACACTGGTTAGTGTGTGACTAATTAAGTTTCTTTCTTCTATGCGCGGGTTATTTGTACATTGTTCCAGTCATAGTATTGTGCCATTTTGTTCTCTGCTCATTAGGATTTTTCTTCTTTTTTTTTTTTTCAACTGGTCAAGTTCTCTCTTAAAGAGAGTACTATACACTGTTAATAATTTACATCAAGTATGAAGGGTGTTGAAAATCCTTAGTGAGTTTTCTCTTAGAGTACTTATTGTATCCTTCTTTTCACAGGTTACAATGTCTCATTCAGCAGGAGTTATTTATGTGCATATGAGGGCAATGTGTGGTGTGAATATAATACAGAGAATTCATAGTTTGGAAATTAGGTGTGGGATTACCAAAACTATTATCCAGAGAGCTGAGGAGGGGTTATTGAGGTGGTTCAGACATGTAGAGAGAATGGAACAAAGTAGAATGACTTCGAGAGTGTGTATAAATCTGTAGTGGAGGGAAGGTGGGGTAGGGGTCGGCTTAGGAAAGGTTGGAGGGAGGGGGGGGTAAAGGAGGTTTTGTGTGCGAGGGGCTTGGACTTCCAGCAAGCATGTGTAAGTGTATTTGATAGGAGTGAATGGGAACATATGGTTTTTAATACTTGATGTGCTGTTGGAGTTTGAGCAAAGTAACATTTTTGAAGGGATTCAGGGAAACCGGCTTGCTGAACTTGAGTCCTGGAGATGGGAAGTACAGTGTCTGCACTCTGAAGGAGGGGTGTTAATGTTGCAGCTTTATAACTGTAGTGTAAGCACGCCTCTAGCAAGACAGTGACGGAGTGAATGATGATGATAGTGTAGGTTAAGCACTGTAGAACATATATGTACTTTATGTTTGAGTGTATACAATTCTTATGAGACTTTTTTTTGTATATCTTGGATATGAATATTAAAGTGTAATTTGTTGTCCAGCTGTAGGACTGGGAGTTTAGTTTTATTTATGCTTTGTATTTACTTAGCATCTATTTTAAAGTATACTTGGTTATTTTATTTCCCAATTGTGTGCACCATAGTACAGTACCTTGTAAGTTTTATTTAGACTTATTCTGGCTGTGTTGACTATCATCTGTGTTCATCTGTTATGATGTGTCTAAAGCAGTTGGGTGAGAATTAAAGGTAACAGATGCTGTGTTAACAGAGAGTATTGGTTGGTGGTGTTGCATGGCAAATTGTTACGACATTAATATAAAGTCAGAACACAAGCATGGCAGAGAATATTGCCCTGGGTAGAGAAGATGGGAGTCTTCAGTTACTTGATTATAGAAAGAGAGGGAATACTGACTTATGTATTATTATTATTATTATTATTATTGTATTCACAAAAAGATCAAATTTGAAATTCCAAATTTTCTCATTCATTAAGAAATTTCCAAAATAAAAAAATATACAATTTTTTTTTTTAAATAAAGGCTTAATAGTGAAAAAAATTTGAAACTTTGTCCCAATAAAAACGTCTACAAACGTATTTTTTCCACGGAATGCAAGTCAGATGGAAAATCACTTCCTTGGTCAGATGAGAAGAGAGAGGCTTGATGAGATGATATTTCTCTGCATGATGATGAGTCTGAGCGAAGGAATATTAAAAACCATAATTCCAGTTCATTACCACAAGAAAAAAAAATGCAGTGTAGTATTTGTAAGATGATGCTGAGATACAGGCTAATATCAGGATATTGTTGATGTAATTTTGATTTGGCTCTTATCAATGATTAGTATAATTGTCTCATTTTTTGCAGTTTATTTTAATAGTACAGTATTCAGACTTAAGGCATTGTGATGTACAGTACATCAGTGTTGTTGTCAATGTGATAACATGTGTTGCTTATATGTTCTCTTCTAGGGTACTAAAACATTGTGCACTACATATATAGTGAGTGTTGTTATGCCTTGTACTCTACTAGAATCAGTGTGTTTTGCCTAGCTCCTTGTCTTTCTCTAATATTATCTGTAAATAAAAAATTCTTATATACAATACTGATACATAAAAATAGTTCTAGTGACTTATATATTATAGCAGAACTATATGATTATTTTCCATACATTACACTAATCTTTCAAAATGTGCAGGGATGTGAACAACAATATAATGGAACTGCTCATTATGGCGTATGCCTGCAAGACTTCGTCAGCACGCAACATTGTTGGTGTTATCCCCTACTTACCGTACTGCAAGCAGAGCAAGATGAGGAAAAGAGGTTGTATAGTGTCAAAGCTGCTCGCCAAGATGATGTGTGAGTGCTGTTCACTGTTCCCCGCTGCACACATTAAATTACCTAATGTCTTAATCTGTCTACTCACAGTTTATATTTTAAATGTTGTAATTTGTGGTAAAACAAATGAATCTAGCAAGGAAAAACTTTTATTAGGTGATAATCAGTCAAATGTAAGCATCATTAAGTCATACAAAGGTACACAATACTCTCACTTTGTACAGTGTACATCCTGAAGAATCTTACAATAGTGTGTGAGCTTTATTAAATACTTCAGAAATACACAACACTAGCATTTTTATACAAAAAACATGCACATAAAGAAAAAAAGGGGTAGAGGTTGCCCTGGGAGGGGCTTGATGGAGGGGGTAAAGATTTTGAGTGCTAGGGGCTTGAACATCCAACAAGCTTGTGTGAGCATATTATATCAGAGTGAGTTGATACCAGTAATTTTTATGATTTGACATGCTGCTGGAGTGTGAGTAAGGTAATGTTTATGAAAGAATTCAGGGAAACTGGTTAGCCAGACTTGAATCTGTAGGTGAAAAGTACAGTGCCTGCACTCTGAAGGAGGGTCAGGAGTGCTGTAGTTCATCTGGACTGTCGTGTCTTCTGGTGAGACAAAATTGAATGAAGTGTAAATGTGTTTCCTCCTTTGTTTTGGGTCACCCTGTCTCTGTGGGAAGTAGCCATTGGGTTAAAAAAAGATAAAAAATAACACTAACAAGGTCAGCCCATCGTATTCTCACTGTTTCTCACATGCCTGCAGAGGAACCTTTAGGAGGGTGCAATCTTACCTGTTTCTGGGCATGGTGGAACCAGGAGGCAATCAATGATAGTAGTGTCTGCACTTTTAAGACAGAAGGGGGGTGCAATGTGGTTTGGAAGGTCATTTGAATTATGAAATCCATGCACTTTTGGTAATGAGTGATGATGAATGTGTCCTTTGGGTGGCATCTGTTGTGGGACACGGCCAACATGTTAGATATTCACAGCTCTCCTCTACAATTCAAAGAATATTTTAACTTTTAACAAGTAACAGTTTAAAAATTCTAAATAAAAAATGTATTTACAAGATGGGCACTTAACAGGTAAGGCTGGCCTGACACACATCATCACAATGGACTTACACCAGAAGGAGATCCAAGGCTTTTTTGAATGTCCAGTAGACAATCTGCGAGCTTCACCTTTCCTCCTGCAATACATCCAGGAGAGTGTAAGTACAGTCTATGCTTTGACACTTCAAAGATTTCTCAAGGCTTTGTGTGTTGTGTCTTTCACTTTGACAAACACAGGTGGTTGCTTGCCATCCAGTCATGCAGAGATAAATATATATATATATATATATATATATATATAATATATATAATATATATATATATATATAAAGAGAGAGAGAGAGAGAGAGAGAGAGAGAGAGAGAGATAGAGAGAGAGATATAGAGAGAGAGAGATTTAGAGATATATATATATATATATATATAATATATATAATATATATATATATATATATATATATATATATATATATATATATATATATGTCGTGCCGAATATGTAAAACTGGTCAATTAGCAAGAACTCATTTAAGATTAAGTCCTTTCTAAAAATTTCTCTTATAAGTTTAAAGATATATTTTTTTCATTAATGTTAATGTAAAAATTTATAATTTTGCAGCAAAAGAATCTTAGAAAACTTACCTAACTTTATTATAACAAGCGCAATTTATTTTAGCCTAATCCTACTAAATATATTTTAAAAACGTTTACAGTAATTTCATACTAAACAAACACAATGAAATATATTTTTTTCGTTAGGTTTAGAATGATTTTGGCGAAATTATTGCATACACAAATTTTCGTTTGTCCTACATGGCAAGATGAGCGTTGCTAATTAAGCCAAGATCGCAAGTTCTGCCTATTCGGCACGACATATATATATATATATATATATATAATATATATATATATATATATATATATATATATATATATATATATATATGTATATATAGAGAGAGAGATCAAGTAGCACTCCACTGCTCCACCATGTAGACACCTGTTTTGTGCTTCTATCATTAATGTATTTTTCTCATTGATAGATCATTTTGTGTGTTGATCATCATCAGCTTCCACTTGTGTGACCCACCATACTCCACTATTATGCAATTATGCATATTATTTTCGAAAGCCTAATGAACAAATTTAATTTACAGTAATTACAGCCTTAGGGTGTTTGTGTATGTATGCTTATCTTTCTGGTACTTTCCTATTTGTGGTTTCAGCCTTGGGCATGCTGCTTAAATATATCATTTGCCTCTTAACTTTATATGACCTGCCTCTTAACTGTATGTGACCTGCCTCTTAACTGTATATGACCAGTTCCAATAGTTTCTTGCCTTAGTTGGGGCTCATTAGGTAAGGCCTTTCAGGGGAATCTTACATGTCTCTCAGACATTGTTTCAGTTTTGCAGTTTATTTCCTAGCAGTGTCTTGTGTAAGGATTGTTCTTTGCAACATATCATTCACTGCTAGTGTCCAACTTTTCCCATGGTCTGCACCCTCATTATGATATGTAAATTTGTGTCCAGGGCCACCATTAACTATCATTCATTTTTCAGATTCCTGATTATCGTAATGCAGTCATAGTGGCACGGGACCCTGGCTCAGCCAAGAAGGCCACATCCTATGCTGAACGTTTAAGATTAGGTAAGTTACTAAAAAAAAAAAACATTAAATTTCAACTTTGTCAAGTGTGAGGTTAATTAAAGTTTAAATATTAATTAAACAAGGGTACATCAATGTTTAGTAATAATAGCACATTATATTGCTTAAATATGCCTAAGATTGTGCCTGTATTAAGGAATAGATCTAGTCAATTAGTTCAAATTCAGTTTCACTTTCAAAATCATATTGAACATGTAAAATATGTAAAAATTAATCATATTTATGGTAAAAGGAGCTGTTATGTTGTAGATCACATAACTAATCCCCAGCCCAAGACCCAAGTTATGCTATATTATGTGTCCTTTTGTACATTCATGATAATTTTTATGGCATAAAAGGAATGTGACAAATGCTGCTACTAATATAGCTGATAATATATACTGTTCATGCTTTTTATTGCATCTTTATTCCTCTCTTAATAATTGATGATAAATATCTTATGATATGTATTGTTACTTCTTGTGGGATTAGCATGTGGGTGAGAATGGTTGGATTTGAAAAGGACTTACCTAGTATGGGCCAGTAGTCCTGCTGCAGTGCTCCTCCATTTTTATATTTCTTTTCAAGATTTTGTAGCTTGTGCATGGGTCCCTCTGATTATTACTAGGACCTGGCATATTATATTTTGTTTTTTTATATTTGCACATATAGTCAAGCAGGTAAAGAGGAAAATTTGGTTCAAGTGGTCACTGTGAGAATAGTGATATCTGAAAAATGGTCTGGTGATACCAACAAGATGTGGAAAAAGGCACTTATGTACAGTTTAGGACATTTATTAAAGGAAATGTTTTGCCATGTCTTCAAGACTGAAGAAGCTACTCATGGCAAAACATTTCCTGTAATAAACGTCTTGAACTGTCTGTAAGTGTCTTTTCCCACAATGGTGATGTTATCAGTCGCTGCTACTGAAGAATTGGTTCTTGGAGTGTTTTCTATATTGTGTCTGTGTTATTTGTGGTTGTCTAGTTGATGGCATGGAGATTTGATATATAAATAATGGGAAACATCCCAGATTACATAGCCTTTACTGTTTCATACAAAATATTGGAGTTATATTTAAAACAGTTCTAATTGTATGTTAAGATTTTCTTAAGTATATATTTTTAATTCTTTGATAATTATCTTTAAAATGTGTTTTTTTATCTGCTATATTATATGTATTTAAATGCATAAAAGATACAAGGAAAGATTTAGAAAACAAATTCAATTTAGAATTAGTCATATCTTCACTGAAGATTGACTTTTATTTAAGGAAAAGCTACAAAAAACATAAGCTGTTTGCAACAGTAAACATTTGGTGAGTGAGTAACAAGCTAGGAGACAGAGGGTCTTCAGGCCTTGATGCAACTTGTGGACGACTGCATAAGTTTTTGTGGAAATGCTTCATTAACCCTTAAACGGTCCAAACAGATCGACGTTCAAATTCGTAGCTACGAAAGTAGATCTACTTTTTTTTACATATTTTCAAATATAACAAAAAAAATGTAGATAAAAGTTTTTTTTACACGTTTTCACATGTAAAACAAAAAAGAAGATCTACATTTTTTTACATACATTCAGATGTTGAAAAAACGTATATATACGTTTGGACCATTTAAGGGTTAAATATTGGATGGTAAGCCAGGACCATGGTCTTAACTTTTTACAAGTTAGGTGGTTCACACGTTTTAGTGTAATGTTTATGTAGTCACACATTTTAGTGTAATGTTTATGTAAAGTGGTTGACAGCAAGCATCCAGCGAGGTAGTATTGAAAATGTTTGTGTTGGTTGACAACAAGTTTCCAGGGAGGTGGTGTGAAGTAAAAGGACACAAGTGCAACTAATGTGACATTTTATTGTGGCAACGTTTTGCTCTCCAGGAGCTTTATCAAGCCATTACAATAAAATGTCACATTAGTTGCACTTGTGTTCTTTTACTTTACATATTGTCGGTAATTCTACCAACTTTATATTACAGGGAGGTGGTGTTAAAAACAAAACAGAGGCCTGTTAAATATTTTGTAATAACAGGATTGCTGGTCCTTCTGGCATGAACTTGCAAGATAATACGGAAATCTTGCAAACCTCTACTTCAATTCAGTACATTCTGTTCTTAACTTTTCTGTGTGTTTTTAATTGTTCTAATTCCTGCAATATTTCCTTTGTAATTCGGAAGGTTTAGTACAGACTTGGCCACAGGGAGGATGATCATAGGTCTCTTGAACAGTTGCTATAGTAGATAAAGAGGCATATTTTCATATTAGGGCTTGGCTTTATTCACTTATCACAAACCTCATTCTGTATTCTCTTAGTCTCTCCATCATGAGACAGTGTGTATATAATTTGAAGGGGGTACTACAGTGCAGTATATCTACATGAAAGTGAAACATTGATGCTATTCAGTTTTGCAGATATTGTTTGAATTTCTTTAATATGGTGTGTGTGTGTGTACGTGTATGCTTGTATTTACAAATGTTTAGGAATACAAAGTTATGAGTTAGGAAATAAGTTATCTGTATATTTATTAAAAATAATTTGCATGAAAGAATAGGTTCACAATATTGTGAATGTAAAAATTGTTTGAGGAGTATTGGTGTCTATTCTGGAAACGTCACTCGAGTAAGACCACTTCTGTACTCATTAGGTCATTGAATGTACTGAAGATTTTGTACTCCCTGCAGCCTAGTTGGTATGATAATGGCATTGTATGAATGAAGTTACCAGATCAGTCTCAAGTACTCTCTACACTGATTAACTATATTCTGTAAGAACAGTTCAGGAGATTGAAGACATGTAAGCCTTGCTATCAGCTGTAAAGATAAACCAGATCATCAGCACATATGTGAGTTTAATGAATTTATACTGGGCAGGAATAACTGACTAGGATAGTGATGGCCCATAGTTCTGGTCACTGTTCTTAGAATATTTTCTTATCTGATGTTCATAAAATATTGTATTCCATGATCCTAATAAATTTCTTAACACTTCAGGTAGATTAAGAGAATGGATGACTGCTATGGGTGTGAGCAAAGTGCATAGATGATGGTAGTGTACCAAATGGTACACTATGGAAGACTTGTTTTGTGTTACCTTGTACCACTGGAAGAAACTGCAATGAGCAGTGGAATCACTATTAAAGATGTGTGTGCTACTCTGTACCACTGGAAGTCACTATAGTTAAACTACACTGATGTTGATTGTGTGCAGTGCATGTATGTTGAAGTCTTAGTCTTTTAATCTACCCCATAAAAATGGTAGGAGTATAAATTCTGAAGGATAATTGCTAGAAACATGTTTGAAACAGTATTATGTAAATGAGCTGATTCACTGCCATGTTAGCAAATATAAATGGAAATATTTTATGATGATGAATTTAAATATTTCATCTCTCTCCCCTCCCACAACCTCCTGTAGGAAATGGTGAGTATAACAGATGTTTAAAGGCTTGTAGCACCAGGTGTTTTCCATGTTATTTCTCACTGGTTCATGCATAGCTTTCGTATTCAAATTTCTCACAAGGTTTGGTCTATTGTATTTTCTGCGCAGCTGTAATCCAACTGTATTTTTAATTTGTCAGTGTGGATCATAGTAGCTTGTCTTTACTCTAGAACCAACCTTGTGCAAGGGGTTCTCCGTGTCTCACCTTAGTGGCAAACACACTGGAATTTATCATTAAACTACTGAATATGATGCATAAACTGAAATGATGTATAAAGATGTGTGTAGTCTGGATAAGGAACACTAAACAAATATATCGTGCTATTATATTACCTTTATAAACAGATGCTCAAGTTATTTTACATGATATAAAACAGTAAAGAAATATTCTGATGTCATTAATAGATCTGAAAGACAAATATTTTTAACTGTCTGAATGATATTCAAATCCAAGCACAGTCTTGTGATTTACATTTCTCATTTGTGCTGCTGCAGCTGTTGTTGATATCGGTACAGTGACTTATCCACAGTACTGTAGATTTGCATCAGTAGATCCTCTTAGAGTGCCTTGCACACGTGGCTTTTGGGATGAGCCTACAACCAGCATCTATAAATATGCAATATATAAAATATATACATTTACATTGAATCGTGTTAGCTGTGATGATATATACTCGAGTATAAGTTGAGGTTTTAATACTAATTTTTTTAAGCAAAAGCTAATCATTTGACCTCTTCATGATTAATGCTTTAGAGAGGTTGAAATCTTGACATATTGAGAGCCTACTGCATACCTAATTCCAATTTCTTTGGTACATCAAGAGCAAAGTTTCCATCCTCAAGAATAACTAATATTTTATTTATATTTTCAATTTATTAATATGAAATGCAGCTCATGATTGCATAAGATAATGTAAATACATATTATTGAAGTTATTATGTTGTGGGAAAGGATGCTGAAGGTAACTGTGTGGAGATAGAGAAGGGCTACAGTAAGATGAATCAAATTAAGGAGTGCAGAAAGAGGGTGTCATGTCAATGATAAGTCTACAGTTCTTTACCCTTCTCTGCCATACAAACATGTTAGACGAGGGCAGGACCTGTCTACCATGAACCAGCAGGCCTATTGCAGATAGGTTCCTGTGTAAAGGAAGTTTCAGCACTGTTTTTTATATATTTAATACTTTTGAAGTTTTAAAATCCCTCAGAAACTGGGGTAGACTTACAGTGAGTTACATGAAAAATTGTTTGGTTAGGGATTGACCTATACACATCATTGGTTTATACTCGAGTATATATGGTAGTTGGAATATTAATCATAGTAGTTGCAGTGTTCAGTATATGGGTTATTTAATGTAACCTTATATTCTGTAGAGGTGTTGAAGGGTTTTGTTAGAAGTGCAGCTGCTGTACACACATGGAAAAATGTTAGTTCAGTTGCAAATATGTTTGGAGATCATCACACTTAGCATTTCTACTGCTAGTGTGAAAGCCTCTTTTTTGAGCTTGTAAGGAGGGGCATGGCATATGCTTTACTGCCTCTGAGCTGCAAACTATTGTCCATAACTGTGCATCGTTTGTTAGCAATTAGCAAATCCATATTTATGTTATCAGCAGCTTATTTTGGACCTTAGTCTGCACTTATCATTTGCACTCAACCTGCACCCATCACATGTACTCCATCTGTCTCAAGGCAAAAACATCTACTTGCATTGTGCATCTGTTGTGGTTAGCATTCATATTATGTTTGGCTCAGGGTGATATACTCTGAATTTTGAGATTTTGTCAGAATTTAAGCCCTACTGATGTCTTGGTTGGGCTCTGGGCACTATGATGAGTATTTTTCAAAATGAATACTGCCAGTGTGATGAAGACAGATTATTTTAGTTAGGGTACTGACTGATGATGAGCTGTGACTTGGACAGATGATCTGAACTGGGGTGCTGACTGGTTATCTCATGTGTTGTACTTGAAAAAATCTGTCGCTCTTCTGTTATATTTCAGTTGTGATTGACATGTGATTGATCTTTGAACAAGAATATGCATTTTTTTTTTTTTCAACCAATCGGCCATCTCCCACCGAGGCAGGGTGACCCAAAAAGAAAGAAAATCCCCAAAAAGAAAATACTTTCATCATCATTCAGCACTTTCATCTCACTCATATGTAATCACTGTTTTTGCAGAGGTGCCCAAATACAACAGTTTAGAAGCCTCAGTGGGAGACGGCCGACTTGTTGAAAAAAAAAAAAAAAATATAACATATCCCTCCAAACTGCCAATATCCCAAACCCCTCCTTTAAAGTGCAGGCATTGTACTTCCCATTTCCAGTACTCAAATCCAGCTATATAAAAATAACCAGTTTCCCTGAATCTCTTCACTGAATATTACCCTGCTCACACTCCAGCATCTCGTCAGGTCCCAAAAACCATTCATCTCCATTCATTCCTATCTAACACGCTCACGCACGCTTGCTGGAAGTCCAAGCCCCTCACCCACAAAACCTCCTTTACCCCCTCCCTCCAACTTTTTCGAGGACAACCCCTACCCCACCTTCATTCCCCTACAGATTTATATGCTCGCTATGTCATTCTACTTTTATCCATTCTCTCTAAATGACAAAACCACCTCAACAACCCCTCTTCAGCATTTATCAATAAAGTAAAAATTAATATTTTAAATTCACAACTAACTCACAATTGGAAATGGATGGCAGGCACTGCATTCATCCTTCCTGGACCATTATAAATGGCCCTGGATGGACTTCAATGTAGTTTTAGTTTCCCTTCCCAATTTTTGGGTTAGCTGTGAATTGTTTTAATCACAATACTGCTGCTTTTGTTCTTTCATATTCAGAATGTATTTTTTTCTGAACTATAGAGACAGGGCTTATAAGTCTTAGCAGTCAGCCCTAGAGCACCTCATGCTGGTGTGTGATGAGCCTGAGGACTTTCACTGTGTCTAGTGAAATGTCTCTGTAATAAGTCATAAGACAACTTCATACATATGCAGCAGTATTTACAGTTTTGTGCTTTCATTGCTTGGTACAGTATTTCTAACTCATTTAGTTAACAAGTAAAGATGAGGTAGTGATAAATTAATGACTTCAGTTGGCACTGTGTTGCAGCATTTTTGTTCACTAGTAGGTGGAACTGTTGAGATACAAACGGCAAATATCCAGTATCCATATAAGACACATCTAGCAAGTATGGCAAAATAGATGGCTAACCCTTTCAGGGTTTTCAGCGTACTGGTACAGCTTACACACCAGGGTTATTGACATAATAGAACGCCTAAATTCTAGCGCCTTCAAATCGAGCGAGAGAAAGCTGGTAGGCCTACATATGAAAGAATGGGTCTCTGTGGTCAGTGTGCACAGTATAAAAAAATTCCTGCAGCACACAGTGCGTAATGAGAAAAAAAAAACTTTGTGTTTTTGGATTAAAACAGCGACTTTGCACTGTATTTTCGTATGGTATTTATGGTTGTATTCTAGTTTTCCTGGTCTCATTTTATAAAATGGAAGACATATTACAGAAATTGAGATGATAGTGATTGGTTTCACAATGAAAAGTACCTTGAAATTGAGCTCAAAGCAGCAGAAATGTTCGATTTTTACCAAAGTTCAAAAGTAAACAAATCATGCCAAGCGTCCTATACACATCAACTGGTGAGTCAAACATTCTTTCACAAGTGCACTGATATTATTTATACCATTTCTACACTAATGCAGTAGTCTGCATAATAGTAAATCTTCTATTTTTTGTAAGAATAAAAATTCAAAGTGGAAAGCAAAAGAAATATAAGAGGGTCCTGAGGATGTGACTGACAAACAGAGAACTTGTTATTTTAGTGCCAGGAATGTCTGTCTTATTTATTCTGGACCCTATTTGGAAATTGGCACCTTCTGAAATTTGTGTGAAATTGGCAAAATTGCCAATTTCTAACCACTTTATTGGATAGTTGAAATTGGTAAATGGGTGGTTTCTTGTACTCATTCGATAGAAAAAATGGAGTTCTAGCGAAATAAATATGATTTTTGTCTACTAGTACACAGGAATTGGGCGAAAATAGGGCTCAGTGTTGGCGAAATCGCCGATGTGTAAACATCGGTGAGACCACTAACTTCGCAAGAGCATAATTCCGTAAGTTTCCCATCAAATTTTATACTTTTGGTGTCATTATGATCGGGAAAAGATTCTCTTATCATTTCTCAGGGTCAAAAAATTTTCGACCCTGAGAACAAGTTTAGGAGAGGGCCTCTTGACATTGAAAGGGTTAATAATAGAAAAGTAGCCAGCACTGTAGAACATAGAAGGAGCTCATGAAGAAATGGTGTCTCAAGAAATCATAATGACACGATTACAAACAAACCATACCCCCGGCCAGGATTGAACCCGCGGTCATAGAGTCTCAAAACGCGACGGGCTGGAGTTTTGAGACTATGACCGCGGGTTCAATCCCAGCCGGGGGTATGGTAAGAAATGGTGTCATGGTGTATGCTCAGTGCAGGCTCCAGTAATGCTCCAGCAGATAATGATGTGGCAGCTATGCTCTCATGGTCAGCCCCTCAAGGAGAGCTAATATAAATAGTGTAAAACATCTTTCTTTCAACACACCGGCCGTATCCTACCGAGGCGGGGTGGCCCAAAAAGAAAAACGAAAGTAGTGTAAAACATGTAAACGAAAATTTCATCTACCACCATACAGGTTCAGTCCTTTTTAATATAATAATGATGTAGTAATATCTCCATTGACTAGCTTTTTATACCTTGGCAATTAATTCTTTAATATTATGCATATTCTTGAGTATAGGCCAAGGTTCTAAGACCAAAATTTTAGGCAGAAAATAGGGAGTAGACATGCTCATGGGTAATACTTTTGGGAGTTCAAATCCTTATACAGCATCTCCTCACTTAACAATGGAGTTCCGTTCCTAAGACCACATCAGTAAACGAATTCATCACTAAGCAAGGCGTATACTATATTGGTAGTGTGTCAACCATCTTTGATGTTGTTTTAATGTCACCTTTGCACCATTTATAACGGTTTTAGTATATTTTTAAATGTTTATACAGTAGTGTACAGTGTATTGTAATAAACAGAATAGAGGAAATCAGCTCTAATATATACATTATTCAGGTATGAATACTGGTCAGACAGCTCGTCGTAAGTTCGAGTCGTTGGTAAATGAGTACGTCGCTAAGTGGGGAGAGGCTGTATTGTAGTTCCATATGCAGCATCCTCTTCCCTCAGTTTGTTGACAAGCAAAGTTGCCGGGGCCTCCTCCCCAGAAACTGGCAACCCATTCATATGTTCTTATGTAATGGTTGAGCACGAGTATTACCTGCCTTTCATGAGCCAGTAAACTTACTGCTGTACTCCTCTATTCTTATGTTTATCAAGTGTCATAAATATTTTGTCACAAATATTTTGATGTTTTTTAGGGTATTTGTACATTTCCTGAATTTCTTTTCAAGTTTCTCGTGGAATATTTCCACTGTTGGAATCATTTGACCCCTATAATAGTCCCTCAAGACCAAGGGCAGACTTACATAGTGTACAAGATACTGTACATGAAAATTTAAGGATTTTTTGGTAAAAAATCA